GCTTCTTACCAAGAGACTCGACTGTAAACCAGTTATTATCTATATATGACACTATTGTAAATAACTTGGATCAAAATAATGAAATCAGATTTGTATTTTGTGATGTAAGTAAGGCGTTTGATAGAGTTTGGCATGAGGGTTTACTTTTTAAATTGGAATCGTATGGCATAAAGGGGAAATATTACAATGGTTTAGTAATTATCTTTCTGATAGAAAGCAGAGAGTATCAACAGAGGGGTTTTATTCAACTTTTAAGCATGTCAAAGCCGGTGTACCCCAAGGCTCGGTCCTTGGTCCATTTCTTTTCTTAATCTATATTAATGATATAAAAGAATGTGTAACAAGTAAAATTAAACTTTTCGCAGATGATACTTCTCTCTATGATCACTCTGCTAATAAGTATTGATACTGGTGTATATCTATCTTCACAACATCTCTGGTATTCGGCTGGACTGGATGGAATTGATGAGTGTACTATTTTATAACCAGTTCTAACTATTTCATAGTTACATGAATATTCTATAGTGCCTTGTTAAATAAATTTTAAGAGAATCAACTCCAATAATATATAATAATAACTTCATTTTCCTATATGAATTCATATCATATTCTGAAATTTTACAAAATGTTTATTTTTTGGTAACTTATCCTATATATCCAGTGGGTGGATGGCCAATGTGTTTCTACACAAGGACTTTTGGGCTTGTATCCGTTGGATGTTATGTAGAATGGGTTGTCAATAAATATACATGATTTATCTAATTATTAATATCTAAAACATAAACAGAAAATGATTAAAGCAAAGTTGAAAATGTTCATTTCACAAGCTAAATTGGAATAATCTCCCCTGCACTGTTTAATTGGATTGTTATGACAGAATATATGTAATGTTTATAAATAAGTTTGGAAAGGACTTAAATAGGCCTAGCCTGATGTCCAATCCAATTGACATATATAAAGTCAATAAAATCTGATGAAATGAAAAGGCAATTGATCCTGTCAATTAATCCAGCCCAATTTGTCTGTCCAGTAGGACCACAGGTAAATCATGAATATTGTTACAGGTAAGATACTGTGGCTGTCCTTTTGTCAGGAAATGACATCGTCGGGCAAATTTTATTTCAAAACAGTGACTTTGACTCTACAATTGTGTTTCACACTACCTTATCCCTCAAATTGTTTACAAACTGGGTGTTACATAAATAGTCGACAGATAACAACCCCTATCATCAATGAACTGGTCACTGAACCATGATAGCACCTTTTATACTTGTACTCTCAGTGGCCCATAATAGGCACAGGGCACACGTGTTACAATTAAAGAACTAGAAGGTTAATAAATATTTTGTTCGAAATCATATCTGTAATCCTGCAACCACAGTACACGTACAATGTTACCAATCATGAATGATACAATACATATATTTAGTACATGACATTTGTTCTTATTCACAGTTCATATATTAATCTACATGAGCTCTCCATTTTTGTTCAAAAGGAATATACAGAAAAAAGACGTATGATTCACTATCATGTATTAAATAATAGAACGATAGTTTTATATATTCTATGTTGACGTAATACTGTTTTAACTATAAAGGAATTTTAATGGTGATTATGTCTGTAAGGCAAAGTATTATAAACTTTAAACCACCAATACATGTATATACATGTACCGTGGATCAAAGTCGGTGCATTTGGTAATAATATAATAGGTCATCACGCTTCTATAGTTGTAATGCTTTTTTCATAAAAGGATACTGCAAACATTATTTTAAGTATATGGATAGATTACATCTAATATTTTATTTATTGATTAATTATTGAGCAAACGGGAGGAGAGAAAAATCATAGTATGTATTTAACTGATGAAACGGCAAGACATAATATGATAAATAAAATTATCTTGTGAACTGTAGTTATCTCCAGTGCACGTTGATGTGAACTCCAGTTCACTTCAGTGTTAACTCCGGTGCACAAACTTATGAACTGGGGTTCACTTTTCTTATAAACGCCAGTGCACTAGGCTTCCAAGTTAAGTTTGCTCCCAACTGTACGTATTATGTAACAATGAACCAATCAAAAAAGTATTGCAAAGTGCTTATAGTCGTCTGCAGAGTGTCCAGAACACTGCAGCACGGCTGGTTACTCGTACTCGAAAGAGAGAGCACATCACACCTATGCTATATTCATTGCATTGGTTACCTGTGATGTACGATACAGGTCGCAATACAACGTTTTGGTGTACACATACAAGTAACTGAATGGAACAGCTCCTCAGTACCTACAGGAGCTTGTTATTCTGTATCAACCGTCACGATCACTGCGGTCGGAGTCAGAATCATTGTTGTGTGTCCCAAAATCTCGTACTGTAGCCTATGGAAACCGGTGCTTTGGGAGGATTTCGGCCACGTTGTGGAATACCATTTGCTATTAGAAAGTCAAATACTCTGGCAAAATTCAAGAGGGACATCAAAACTCACCTCTTCACATCTGCATTTTAGGGTCTCTGCAAAGACGTCAATTAAATATCACTCTTTATTTGTTCAATTATGTGCACATTGCTTGCTTAAATGTAATTGTAAGCCTTTGTTTTTGTTTCACCATATGTTGTAAAGCGCTTGAGAGTAGTTTTACAAATTATAAAGGGCGCTATATAAATATTGAATATTATTATTATATTAAGAAAGCGAAATACATCAAACCTTAATTTTCGTGTATAGATCCCCGTACCACTGCCAAAATATGTTACTATGAATTAGAAATAAAACATGACCATAGCTTAAAGGATTCATTTCTGAACCACACCTTTTATCTGTTGTTTCAATATAACCTGGGATTTTTTTAACACAACTACAATAAATTCAAGCGGTTTGCTTCATTTTTGTAATACATATAAGAACATTTTTTTTTCATTCATAAAGGATAATACAATCTGCGTAATTCTATTTTAACTTTAAACGATATTTATGTCATATGTTATACTTAAAAAAAACAAGAATGGGAAGCCGAACATTGACGTCAAAAAGATAATATATACATTTCTTGCATACTAGACCGAGATATCCGCATTTCCGGCTGTGCTGAAAAATTCTATCCGACCCACGGGTCTAGATCGCTTACATGCGCAGACCGGCGTAGGAATTATAGTTACCTTTCAGGGTCATGCTATTGTTCGTGACGTCAATATTTTATCCCTTCGGTTTGAATAACCTTATCCATACTTCACATTCAGGGATGGATTCTATTAGTATTTTACACTGACAACTTTATGTACTTTATTTCACCAAAACCAAACATTTCAGAAAGATTTTGGCTGTTTCTCGTTGCTATTACACATTTTGAAAGATACAAAACATTGTAAGTAAATTGTTCTGTTAGCAAAGACGGTCTAAACTTTAAATCCAAACAACTAGCGAAACATATATAAAAAGTTAAAGGACGCCTAATATAACAAAAGTAAAAAAATGTACAAAGACTAGTCCTTTGATACTTGCAGGTCAATGTATCTGCTTTCAAGATAATCTGTCAGACTGTTTATGCTGTTCGTTGTGTCATATAAAATATAACCTAAAGATGTGTTCGTGTTTGTTGACTGTATACGTACTGGTATAACTCTATGACCCCTATATTTAAAGGTTATTCCCGTCATATAAAACAACAAAAATAAATTAGCACCCATATTTAAAGCATATCAAAAGGCAGTCATATTACCTCTTATATGTCTTACGATTAGTATGTTTTTAATCATTTCAATTCATAATAATAGCTTTTGAAAGTAAAACATGACAAATTTAAAACAACGTTAAAGTTTTATCGATAATGCTACAACAGAATGGTGGTTATACATTGAATGGAATTTCGGTGTATCTGCTTAAAAAACGATCATAGGCAGCAATTCAAAATAAAACCTTCCACTGACTCGGCATCAGTAAGCTCAAACAATTTTAAACTTCTTTCTAATTGTCTAGTTACTGTATACGTACGTCCATTGCATTCAATCTTATTTCAGCGCTCATAATTTTGTTTTAAATATTGCCCTTAATTCTGATTGCGTTTATTTGATTTATATATATTGGAGCCAAATCATCAATGATCTAATCAGCAAAAAATGCATAATCACAAATTTTTTGACTGCATTAAAATAAGTACGTCGACAAGAACTGGACCCTACTCACCGTGTTCTCGAACGTTGACCTCCTGACCATTGATTGCCTCTAGACATAGAAGTGCTTCATAATAGCTTCTTACCTTCTAATTGATGTTGTAATCTTCCAATATCTTCTAACAATTAGCATTCTGTCCTTTCACGTTGAAGCCGTTATATTCGTTTTCTATTTCACACCTTTTTCAACGTCGTAAAAGTGTTCCGCTTAACTTTAAATAGGCTTTTATAAACATCTACGTGTATACAATTTGTTCCTATATTCGACATTTTATTAAATTATTTTTTTCACTTTTACACAGAGACAATTTTAATATCTACTTGTTACCGTCGACATCCGACGATACAATAAATTATAGGAATTCAATTGCTGTATATAATATGCTGTATTCAATGCATTACATTTTTCTGTATTATTATCTTCTCTCTTCCTATTTTCTTCTCCTTTTTCCTAGAACCTTGTTTACAAAAACAAAAAACCCGCCCACCTAAAAATCTGCAGAATCTTGAATGAAAAAGGTTTTCAGCAGCCAGTATGTCTGAAACCTGTGATGTCAGCTGCTGAATTTGGTTAAAATTCAATTGAAACAATTGAGACATGATATCGTTATGAATGACGTCAGGTCAACAACGCAATCAACGTTTATATATAATGTTGGGACACTTGAATTGATGTTAGAATAATTTAATGGTTCGATATCCCTGTTAAAAGAGCGTTTCGTAAACACAATTTTTATACCTATTTAGTTCTTATTAAAAGCATTTTTATCTAGCCAATCATCTTTTTAATTGATTGTTTGATCAAATGCTATTCATCATTGTTCTTGTCTTCCAGACGTGGTTTAGCTGCCGCATTGCTGGTGACCTCGATACTCTATGCTTTATACGTTTACACGTCTACGAAGAATGGTATCCAGATACACAACAGAAGGAAGGTGTCAGCTTATCGTACACCTTACAAATTATCTAACACTGTACCAGAACCACAGATCAGCATGCCGTCATCCCGACAAATACACATGCACTTTTATAACCCGCCACGTTGGTTCAAAAATGTTTCCGAAGTTTTTAAGCGATGTCCCAGAAATTGTTCGATGTCGGCTGGAAAAGGTCAAGATTATTATGATAAAGACGTTGTAATATTTTTCAGTCAAACGCTCGGCGCATATCCAGAGAAGAAAAGACGAGGACAAATCTGGGTTCTCTATGGTAAAGAACCGCCTCCACTGCATCACCGACATATCCGGAAGTGGAAAGGACTTTTCAATTGGACAATGACATATCGTAGGGATTCAGATATACAGTGTAGGTACGGACATTTTGAAAGCAAGTTTAACTCGTTATTGCGCTCTCCTAATATAACCTTCAAATACAGGTCTGTAGTTGACTCGGCAAAGTCTCTAAAGCCAAAGGGACATGCTAGTTCCACCGCCTGGTTTGTGTCCCGTTGCCATGCTCAGAGCAGACGAGAAGATTACGTAGCAATTCTAAACAAAACGCAGTCTGTGGATGTATTTGGTCGTTGTGGTACCATTAAGTGTTCTAAGGAGGACAACTCCCAATGTTTGTCATTGTTAAGTCGGAACTACAGGTTCTACCTTTCCTTTGAAAACTCCCTATGTAGGGATTACATTACCGAAAAGAGTTTTAATTTCTACACAAAAACTCTTGACACCGTCCCCATTACGCGTGGATTTGGTGGCATACACTCGTTATATTTACCTCCGGGATCATTTATAGATACAAGTAATTACGATCATATCGATGAGTTAGGGCATTTTTTAAATTATCTTAGTAAAAATGATACATTATATTCACGATATTTCCAATGGAGAAAATATTACCAAGCTAATTTGAACATAATTGACCCGTTCTGCGAACTTTGTGACCGAATGCACTTGCCAGATGTGAATACACGCTATCATAGAGTGTATAACAACATTCACCAGTGGTTTTTTGGTTCATCCAATGTCACCATGTGTACAAACGCTGAGGATTTACGAAAATAACCTTTTCATAACATTAGAAGAACACATTCGGTATAGGAATAACGTTGAATTTATCCTTAGTTCCACAGTGGATATGTTCGTTCACCTCTTCATTTATACTTGTTTGTTGTTTGTGAATATGTTATCGCTGGCGTAACGTAGTTTCTGTCGAATATAAAAACAGAACATTTTTCACAAACAACTGCATAGCTATGACTTTTAGACAAACCATTCATATTTTCAAGTACATGTTCACTGGAATTCGAGAGCGTTCTTGTAAATTAATGTATAGAACATTCAGTTGGCCATGCCCCATATCTATGAGATTGACATTTAGACGCTTCTTTGAATGATTATTATCTGTCTTTAATGATAGTCTCTGACAATTTATCATTCAATGCGTAGGTCAAACATTTTAATACGCAGTCTAATTTCTTGTTTATCTCACGTTTGTTTCCACTATGCGTTACCGGATACACCATATAATTATATGGATTTTGAGTAAAGCAAAAGATATATTTCTTCAAGTCTTCTCTGCCGGATAGTTTTGTGATTTAAGAAAACACAATTTTTGTTTCTCGGCCATGTATCTGTCATATTGGTTTATATTTACTATAGTTTAAACACTAGAAGCAGTATTGCTAAGTTCAATGGCTTTTATATGCATGTTTTTTTTGGTTTTTTTGAAATCTTAACAAACAATTTTGTCAATTTTTTTTTTTTTGTATTTGTTTTATTTTTCAGAATATTTTTTTTTTTACAATGCAAAGTACATTTGTAATAGCTGAAAATCTCACACACACTAATCTCACTTCTACCTTCACACACACAATTATCGATTGTTATTTTGATACATTTTTCCAATGTTTACATTTGCATTGCATTTGTATGAAGCAGAGGATGAAAATAAGACAAGGACAAAACATGTCAATATATGTATAGTAATAGCTAAACAAAATATTTTGATGTCTTATAGATAGGAAAAATGGATACAAAACAACTCATATACTAATGTCCAATAATATAACATATTATAACTGTAAACAGTATTCTTAATATAAAGTTCAGCAAATTGAAGATTCAGGAGATAATAAAGTTCAGCAAATTGAAGATTCAGGAGATATTAAGTAACTTTTGCCTTTTTTTCCAATTATTTTTAAAGGTGTTATTATATTTGTCATCTTTACCTGTTGCAATATATGTTTGTGTAATATAGTTGTCCTTGATTGCTTTTTTAAGACCATTTATAGATAATTTGGTTTGTGCATCTTGCTGAATAAATGTACTGTTTCATAATCAAAATAATTGTACTGTCTATTGGTGTTCTTATTCCATCTTGATTATATAATCCAAAGATAAAAGTATCCTTATTGTAAGCAAAAGGGATCATTAAGGCATCTAATAAAAACTCAAAATTTTGTAACATAACCTGCACCTTATCACATTCCCATAGGGTATGTTCTATTGTTTCAATATCAGTTTTACATGAGTTACAATAAGGACTATCAGCTATTCCTGCCTTAAATAAGAATGAGTTTGTTGTCAAAATGTGTTGATTGATTCTGTATTGAAGCCACTGTAATTTTGAGTTTTTGGTTATATGAAAAGGCATTTTACATATTTTCTTCCATGTTTCATGATCAAAATTAAAAACACCATCCCATTTTTTTCTTCCAGTGGATATTGTATTATTTTTATTGAGTAAATAATAAAAATCTTGTGTCCCTTTTTTCCTGCGGAAAAGTATTTCTAGATTAATTGGTATGAAAGGATTGATAGGACATGGTAAATCTTGTTTCTGTTTATGTCTTCGAATAGCTGAAATAAGTCCTTGGTAATTAAGAAAGTTTGTATTTATACCAAAGACCTGTTGAAATTCCTGAAAAGAGTAATACAAATTAGTGTCTGTATTGATTAAATCGCTGATAATAATAATTCCTTTATTGTACCAATCCCGATAAAAAATACTCTGGTTATCTATTTTAATTACATTAGTATACCATATTGGTGTTTTGGCCAATTTATCTGGAGATTGATATGAATAGTGTTTATTTGATAAGTTTATCCATGCTTCAAAAACATCTTTCCAAAATAAATTCTTACAGTTATTGTGACATATTGAAAAATACTCAGTTCCACAGTTAGCCAAAATATGATCATCAACAGAAGTTCTTAGAATAATTTGCCATTTATTTGAACTTGTATAGAGTCTCCTTAACCACGTTAACTTTAGAGATTCAATGAAAGACTTTACATGTAACATTTTTAGACCTCCGTCAATGTATTTTTTAACAGTTATATCTCTTTTCACTTTATCTATTTTACTTTTCCATAAAAAAAGGTACAGTTCTGTGTTTAACTTTTTCAGGAAATTCTCATCTGGGTTTGGTAAAGAGATAAAGAGATGATTAAACTGAGAAATTAATAGTGCCTTTATAATATGGATTATACCTATTGGTGTCAAAATTCTTCTTTCCCAAGTTCTAATAAGGGCCTTTATCTTAACTAGTTTTTTTTATCATAATTCAGTTTAGGTATTCGGTGTAGGTCAACATGAAACTCAATCCCTTAAAGTACAAATTTTTGATTTCCCCACTGTATATTCAATTCAGGGTACACAACTTCATCATTATATTTGTTACTCCCAATCCAAATAGCCTGTGTTTTAGTTACACTTATTTTTAATCCAGATATTTTTGCAAAAGTTTTTAGTTCATCAATTGATTCTTTAAGTGATCTCTCTGTTCCATCTAAAATCAGTGAAGTGTCATCCGCATATTGAGACAGTAAAATAGGACTATTATCAATATCAATACCTTTTATATTTTTATTGTTCCTTATTCCAATAGCTAAAATTTCAGCACACATTATAAATATATATGGTGCGATGGGGCCCCCCTGCCTACAGCCTCTTTCAATTTCGAAAAATGGAGACAAATTTCCCCCTTGAATAATAGCTGAACTTGACTTTTTTTGTAGAATTTTGACCCACTTTTTATATCTTAATTAAAATAATCCAGAACTTCATCAATAAACTTCCAAGAAACAGAGTAAAAATCAATGATTAACAACATTCCAGGTATATTCCTGTCTTCTGCATATTGCATGATATCGTATACAATTCGAGTTTTTTCCCCAATATAGCGCCCTGCAATAAATCCTGTTTGATCTGTATTAATTATTTTATTTAAAACTGTTTTTGTTCTGCTAGCTATTGAACCTGATGCAATTTTATAAATAATTTTAAGTAAAGAAATTGGTCTCCAATTTTTAAGATATTGTCGAGGCTTATCTCCCTTAGGTATACATGTAATTATGCCCTGTCTTTGTGTGATTGATAATTCACCCTGATTGAACCCAAAATTAATTGATTTTACTATAAAAGTGCCTAGTTGTTTCCAAAAGCATTTAAAAAATTCTACTGTATACCCATCAGAGCCTGGGCTTTTAATTTTTTTCATAGTTTTTAAGTATTTGAAGCTTCATTAAGAGTAATTATACCTTCTAGTTTGTTAGATTCTATATTACATAATTTTGGAATATCAATATCTTTTAAAAAATCATCTATATGAACAACTTCTATATCATTATCAATTGTATATAATTTTTCATTAAAATTTCTTACCTCATCAAGAATTTCTACCTGCTTTGTTATTTTATCCCCATCGTCTTTCTCTGTCATCGGTATTAACTTCGAGGTGTAATTTCTGTTTTCTAGGTTAAAAAAAAAATTGTTGGCTTTTCACCCATTTAGCTCTAGATCGAGTTATATTACCTTTTAATTTATGTAATCTGATATTTTGTATATCCTGGGTTTTTTCGTTCAGTTTATCTATATCAACATCACTACTAACTTCTAGTTTACGTTTTCATTTGAATTCTGTTGTTTTTACTTGGGAAATGGTTTTGCCTCGAATTTCAATTAAAAGTGTTTCTGAAAAAAGTTGATCGTTTATTGTGAATTGTATATCAGAATCAGGAATATTATTGATGTTTTCTAAAAGATACATTGGAAGAGCATATTGTCTTTAAAATCTAAAATTAGTTTATTAATAAGTTCTAGGTAATCTAAATCATACAAGAGTGAATTATTAAACTTCCATAATCTTTTACCTTTCTTAAATTCATTAAATCTTAAAGCAATCATAGGAAGCGAATGACCAGTTCTATAGCCTGGCTCTATATTTGAATAATGAATACTTGATAATAAGCTGTCTGAAATAAGAAAGAAGTCTAAACGAGCTTGTTTAACAGGGTTACTTCTCCAAGTGTATCTTTTGTGCTCCGGATGTTGTTCTCTGTATAAATCAACCATTCCCATCTCTTCTATAAGTTCAATTACTTTATCTCTAGCTTTTGGGTTGTTTATATGTTTATAGCTTTTATCATAGTCCAATTTAGGGTTCAAAATTAAATTAAAATCACCACATATCATATAAGATTTATTGCCAAATGCATTAATGGTATCTGTTAAATTTTCATAAAAAGCTGGATTGTCTGAATTAGGGCCATATAATGTTATTAAAGTTACTTTTCTACCTTCTATCTTCAAATCAAGAGCCTGAAAATTCCCAATCAAATCCCTTCTTTCCTGCATTACCTTTACTTCAAAATTGTTATTAAAAAGATTGCTACCCCCTTGCATTTGATATAAATGAATTAAAATAGCATTCATAACCCCATTCTGCTGGAACTATATTTTCAATATCATGAGTGAAATGTGTATCCTGTAAACAGAAGATATTATAGTTTTTATTTTTCAAGTAAGAAAATACATCTTTTCTTTTATTTCTATCTCCTAAACCTTGACAATTTGCTGATATTATTTTTATACCCTCAACAAGTCAGCTGTATACACAGCTTATACTCACAGCTTATACTCACTCAACATATATATGACACTGCCTAAGACAACGGGAGAAGACATGAGAGGGCCCCATGCCAGGATAGTAACTATAATGACACTGACACTAAAGAAGAAAGGAGAAAGAAGCATTGATAGACAAAAGGAAAAGACACAGAAAAACATATATATGTGGTCAAACAAAACTGACACACTATCAACTATACATAATCATAATCTATTTGTTTACCTATAATCCTACACCTCGTGCGTTCTTTCCATTTTTTTTTTTTGTTAAAAGTTGATTGTTTTCCAACTTGAATAAAATACCAAGAAAAGTACCTTTAACATTTTCATTGGCAATTATTAACATTTTTACACTGATTGATCTTCTCCTACCAAACATCTAAACAAAGTCTATATTCCTTGCTATATCGCATAAAGTGTTGAGCTGAAAGATCGTAAGGTGATATGATCGATGTGCTTTTATGCCGACATAATTACAGTTTTCTGCCCCATCTCTTCCATTGAGCACGGTCCATCATTATCATTGAAGTTTCACTGGTCCAGCTGCTTACCTTACAACCAGAACAGAATGTTACAGATATTTGTGCTTTTCAATTTTGAGTTCATGTCGATATCTCTCTTTCATCTTGTCCTCTTTTTTGCCCTGTAGAGAGTTATTATTATTTATCATCAACATTTACATTACAATTAACCAAGGAAGGATTCAGTTTATCCTCTTCTTTGTCCGTGTAGATTTTTAGTTCCAATAAACAGTTTGTATTTAATCAAGCATTGGAGAGAGTTTTTCTATATAAAACAATACATTCCTCTGAGGGAATAAGGGGGTTTTAATATGTACAAGTTTTTACAAATACTTACAATAAAATGATATCATTTTAATCTTTACTTGATGCTTTCATTTCTTATACCGGATTTCCTAATTTTCTGCAGTTTCGGGGACCACGGTTCGCCATGTGGTTAAAGTGTACGACATTCTGCTACCATTAGCCCTCAACCACTAGGTCGCGGGTTCGAGGCCTGCATGGGGCAGTCGCCAGGTACTGGTCGTAGGTCGGTGTTTTTTTCTCCAGGAACTCCGGCTTTCCTCCACCACCAAAACCTGGCATCCTTAAATGACCATAGCTGATAATAGGACGTAAACACAAACAAACAAACCAAACCAAACTGCAATTTCAATCAATGTTTAGGAAAAATTGACATTTGGACATGTGTTATTGTAGATTAGACAATATTTATATATGACTCGGGATTCGGAAGCATTAGAGAAAATGTTTAACTGCGGCCTCCGTTAATTATTTTGCCAACATTTTTGAAACTGGGGTTATATATATATATATTCCACAGGAAAATACAAACATGTTGATTGTATCTACTCTACCATGTTAACGTAAAGGAAGTTCGTGTTTGTGTTTACCTCAGTGTCAACAAGCCGTAATTATGCATGATGACCTAGATAATCGAATAACGTTTTACCAGGAAACTCCTGCCGAGTCCAATATTCACCATTCACCGGTAAAATCTGTATTCGCCCAGAAGTAATTTTGCCTTTCACATGTAATAACTATGTATGGCTTGTTGTTTACTGATGTTGGCTGTCGTGATTCAATAAACCAGCCCTTATGTGTCTGCAAACATTTGTCACGTGATGCCGATATTTTCTTTTTACAACAAGCACGTGATTCCAATGTCTTTATTTCACAATTTCTCATTTTTATTAATATTGACGTTATCAGTAGTTGTCCTATTTTTCTTGTTTAGCCTGGATACATTTGGAAAGAATTATATCTGCCTTATCGTGTGATGATACAAGAATCGTTAAGGACCAACAGCTACATCCATCGTGCCAGCTGTCTAAGTGCAGGTTGTGCGGAGGTTTTGTATGGCTGGTAAAAGTAATAACTCGACATAAATTACCTTGATTAAAAACTCAATTACTTATTTAGGGTCCGAAATTCATTTTTTAATCGCCATTTGATTTCTAAATTCGACAGATGATAAACAATAGACTCTGAAGCATGTCAATACGTAAATGATTTATTGAATTATTTATAGCTTTATTGTTTTGAAATTGTTAATAAGAAAAGGTATAAATCCATGTTTAGAAATAAGTGCACCTCGCATTTAGGGACTTTTCTAATAATTGATTTCTTTGGAATCCTAAATGAAACTGTGACAGTCGAGTGAAACTTGTGTTTTGATCTCGGAGTTGTAACATACACCAGACCACACCTGGTTTCCTACTCTCGGAATTCTGTATCAGGCATGGTTTATTGAGGACATTTTGACTTTTAGTTGGGGTACCATTACGTTAACAGAGCAGTACTTGTATTATATCAAGGTGGAATTATTCAAAAATCAATACCTTATGTGATTTACTGATGTTTATTTGTATTGTTGGTGTTGACTAAACGACATCTGTTATGCAATGAACTGCTTCAACAGGTTCGATTATATAAGAGGACAAACATAGTACTGTAAAACAATTCGGTATCGTTGAAAACTACGACATTCTTAACAGAATAAACCCTGATGTTTCAATACATATATGTACTTACATGGGTCATGCAGTTGCACAAACAGCGGCAAAAATATATTTCTGTGCATGTAACTCAGGGGCAATATTTTATGCATAAATGTATAATAGATCTTGTTCAAGCATTGTTCTTCTGAAACGTCATCTTCATTACTGACTAATTTTTATGACATATCAATAAAATCAAATATCGTGTTTCCCTCACATACTCAAGTGTCCTCGTTTAAGTCTATTGACCTCTTTAGAGAAAAAAGTGAGATACATCACAGTTGAGTTCCAAGTGTCTGAAGCAGAAGAAACAATGGGGCGTAAGTTGATCTCCTCTATTGTTGTGATATTGATCTATTTTGGTATAAAACAGTATAAACTACAAAGGACACAACATCTGTGACAGAATGGACTGACGCAGCAACTTAATCATTACATGTATCGCAAAGCACCAAACTTCAGCACATAGTATCGTCATTAGTAAACATTTGATCACCCAATTTTGAGCTAACATTTCCCAAACAACGCTACTTAACACATGAAAGTAAGCAAGTTGTTGACATTACTACAGGAAGTAGTGTGGCAAGTGTATGTCGCATGTGATGAATACTACCATATTTCAAAACGTTACAGCAAAAATAAGTACATATTAAAATATTAAGATTCAGTTGATAATAACTTTTACGTTTTACATTGATTGTTCATAACCCCAAAGGACTAGACGAAGGACTAAATAATACGTTCTTAAATAGATTGATGGCGTACATTCTGATGATGGACATAACACACTCATATAATATTGCACATTTAAAATATGGTAATATACAGTAAACCAAAAATGAACAACACTGCACCATACAGCTGTTTTGTCCCTCTAAACCTATCGTTAATGCTAGAGACCAAAAAAGTTGGAAATCCAGATTGGTCCAAAACACTATTGAGACAGAATGGGGGTGTGTAGAATGTCTTGATTACATGAATTTCAAGAAATAGATGAGATTTGGTTAATTCCAAATGAATATTCAGTGTGTATCTTGTGAGCCGTGCCACTTCGGAGACTATAACATCTACCAGCAAAATCTAACAACTATGTTTCTTTAAAGATGAACGTATACACCTATATACTGTGGCAATAAATATGCGGCCAAGTATACTGCACCGTGCGTCAGTTATATGATTATGCAAAGGAACCATGCGGGCTGCCTTGAGGCATTTTGTAATACAAAGTCACCTAATTGCAGTCCAGATTCATTAGTACTATACTTTTATGATATCGTAATAACATTCCTTGTTGAATATTTTCATCCTCTGGTATAGAGAGTAAGCTAGTTTTTCCAACTTCACAGCGGTAAATGGAATTATTTTCGTCTTGTAAGATGACATTAAAGAAATGTTTGGGTTTTGAAATATTTTAGTGCATTATTGCCATGGATCAGATTATTGTCGTTTTTATGTAGTGCTCAATTGCAAAATGAAGTTGCCACTTTAAAAAAATAAGATAAAAAAGAGATAAAGGAAAACATGCTTATGTGTTTACACCGTCGTTCTTAGTGAAGGAAAGTGTTTGTTATAGTGAAACAATATATGCCACACATATATAGAAATTACCTTTACGCTTCAAGATGGTTATGGTGCAAGGCGGTCCCGTCATGCCCCGGCCCCTCGCGCTGATATGAGAGTCTCGGCTCATACGGTGTAGGGTACAGAAGTGGTCATGGCCTTTAAGTATTACCTGATGCAAATTACACTGACAACAATGCCGCCGTCGTTTCAGTCGTTATTCAAATTTATCAATTATCACTGTTTAATTGTTGCTCTTGGGGCTCAAGTTTTATCATTCATCAAACACATAGAGCCAGTGAACTTAGGCGAAAGCGCGACGCCAACCAAAGTGTGTGCCTGTAAGTATTATCTCACGAATACATTTCCTAGATTTTTGTGGAAACGAATGATTGCGGTGTTTTAAGCACAGGATAGGTATTCAACATGCGTGTAAAAATAGTCGATAGACGTAGATACGCATAATTCAAAAATGTTTACAGATTAACGTGATATTGGTGCCAAGTTTGAACTGTACCCTTCAGTGCTTGTGACAATGCGATATGTCACTTGTTCATATATCATAACAAAGACTAGAGATGTTATCAACATCCGTAATCTTTTCTTCGCCCTTCTTGTCGTGGTGACTATTGAACTTTTGACATTTAACCCCACAAAATGTGCTATGATGGGATCTCTTCTTGGACTATGCTCGGTTCAGAGATTACGTGGAGGTTCTACCAAAGGCAGACAAATCAGTTGGATTTGGACGAATACAGAACCGGAAACGAAGCTTCCGTTGTGTCCTCTGATTCCTCCAACCATAGGTAAGTGTCGAGAACCAATGTGTTCACACAATATGTCATTATATCTCACAGTTTTGATGTTGCCTCATAGGTCCTGTCATTTATTAAAGTTTAAAGATAATGTCAATAGCTATCTTCGACGTGTACATCTTACAAGAAAGTTCCACGCTCAGAAACATTTATACATGTTAAATCTTTCATGATAATTTGGGTTTTTGCAATNACAGGTCGCAGTACAAAATTCTGGTATACACATACAAGGCACTGAATGGAACAGCTCCTCAGTACCTACAGGAACTTGTTACCCTGTATCAGCCGTCAAGATCACTGCGGTCGGAGTCAGAATCTTTGTTGTGTGTCCCAAAATCTCGTACTGTGACCTACGGAAACAGATGCTTTGGGAGGGTTTCGGCTACGTTGTGGAATAGCTTACCATCTGCTATTAGGAAGTCAAATACCCTGGCCAAGTTCAAGAGGGACATAAAAACTCACCTCTTCACGTCTGCATTTTAGAATCTTTGCAAAGACGTCATGTAAATACCACCCTTTTATTTGGTCAATTATGTGCACATTGCTTGTTAAATGTATGAAAGTGATTGCAAGCCTTTGTTGTTTGTTTTCACAATTATAACCATTACTATTATCCATATGTTGTACAGCGCCTTAAAGTAATATTACAAATTATATAGGGCGCTATATAAATGATGTGTATTATATTATTATTATTATTATTATAGGTTCTGTCATTTATTGAAGTTAAAAGATAATGTCAATAGCTATCTTCGACATGTATCTCTTACGAGAAAGATCCAAGTTCAGAAACATTTATACATATAAAGTCTTTCATGCTCATTTAAATTTCCGCTACTTCTTTGGTAACAAATATAAAATTCAGTCAATAGTGGATAATTACAGGTTTTAAGGTAATTATGTTATTTAAGAAATAGAAGAAAAACACAATAAATAGATTGAAGGTGCACTTCATGTACATCTATATATAGAGTAGTATTAACGAGTTGGTGCTATGAATCTATCCTATCACCATTATAAATATTTGAACTTCAGTGAACTTTGGTTCCTTGAATGGTTGATCGCAGTCCACTTCGATTCAGTTGCGTTCTTATTTAAGTACTACATCTTGCTGAAGTCAACTTAGTAGGGTGGTACTTTGTTTCACAGTTTACTGCAGAGGAGGTAGGTTTTGAACTGTTATGAAACAAGACACATATATAGAGTTTACACAACGAGTGTTTACAAGTTTATCTAACTAGAGTTAGTTGATTTTCAAACTTTAAAAAGACACGAAGTTAACCGGGTGTCTTTTTAAAGTTTGAAAATTAACTAACGGGGGTAAGATAAACATGTTTATCAACCGACACGAGTTATGTAAATTGTTTCTACCACTATTTCCCAACTGACGGGTGCTGGTTGGCGTGTATTTGTTTACATGCACCCATTTCACACACGTAGTAATATATACAAGTGTGTGATAAACTCATTGATATTCAAAACACGTAAATTTATTTTAAGGCGCCATGAAACAATGTAGCTATCAATAATTACAAACAAAGTGTATACATATTGTCGGGGATTCTGGACAAGAAAGTTTCTTCTTCTTTAATCACTTTCGTCAGAGTACAGCACTCGTAGTCGTTTTGGTGCAGCATGGTTTATTTTCATGTGAAATGTTCCACCATATATTGGTTCATTGAAAAGACAGGGGTGGCGTTGATCCGTCATCGTAACAGTGGATGAGCTGCTTGATTGTGAACTCCAAGCCACAATCGCACGCGGAACCTGCTGAATGTGTGCATTTCCTGCACGACCAGCTGATGTGTTGTTGGATATGATATATGATATGCCTTGTGTTGTTTGGTGTTGTTCAAACTGGAGTAGGAGTTAATGCTCTGGATGTTGGTAATATTTTGAAATGGTTTGCCTAGTATTTAATTGATAGGAGACAGAGGGTGGTCTTTGATGGATTTAAATCTAACTGGAAAACGTTAAAGGCGGGGGAACCACAGGGGTCAATTTTAGGGCCATATTTATTTTTACTGTACATAAATGATATCGGAGAAAATTTAATCTCTAATGTCAAGCTTTTCGCTGACGACACATCTTTATATGAATTGATAGAGGGAAACAGACAAGAAGCTGCTGACATACTTAATGAAGATTTACGTAAAATCTCTATCTGGGCTGATAAATGGGGTATCATCTCCAAACCGGATAAAACGGAGGTTCTACTTCTCTCAAGGCGGGTCGACTCTGAGACGTTGCATTCTAACCTATTTTTTTAATAATGCAGTTTTTAATAACGTTATTGATCATAAACACCTTGGTCTTATTTTCAATGGCAAAGCCAACTGGTCAACTCATATAAATTGTATTTATGAAAAAGCATATAAAAGACTGAATATACTTAGAATGTTAAAATTTAAGATTGATAGAAAATCCACTGAAACAATATATACATCATATGTTCGTCCAATCCTCGAATATGCTGATATTGTATGGGCTAACTGTTCCCAGAGAGAGTGCAACGTCTTAGAGTCAATCCAACTTGAAGCAGCACGCATTATTTCTGGTTTAAGACGAGGAACGAGCCATAACGTTTTATATAGAGAGACTGGCTTTGTTACACTTAGTAAAAGAAGACATTTACATCAAAATATTGCATTTTTTTAAAATTCTTTAATAACAACTTTCCATCTCATGTCTCAGACTTGATACCGCCCTTTTTTAATAACATTGAACATTACAACTTTCGACACAATAGGTTATTTGACATTCCAGTACCAAGAACGCATTTATATAACTCTATTTTTTTCCAAAACTTATGTCAGAATGGAACAATCCAGCCTGTCTGTTACCCACTGTCTCTTGGAGCTCTGAAAAAGTAATGTTTACGTTCATCCCATATGGATGTTAACCCAATATGTAGTGACATTTGTAAATATCACGGTGATAGAAAAATTAACATAACATTATGTCAGTTAAGAAATTCTGCAAGTAATTTAAAACACATCTAAATGATAGCCCTGCTTGTATATGTGACTTCCCCTTCGAACATCTTGATCATTTTTTCCTGCACTGTCCTTTGTATACTAACCAAAGACTAATATCACTTAACTCTCTGTCAGCGATGAGTGATGCTATTCCACTCAATACCCAAACTTTTATTTAATTATTGTTTCCAATCACGAGACGTAAATATGAATATAAATATTGTGGAAACGGTTCAGAATTACATTAGAGACACCAGACGTTTTTATTAGATTCTCAAATAGCTTTGTAAAATAATCTCCCTCACAACAATTGTGATATTTGAAATATGTATTGTCAAATCAAATTCAAAGTACAAATAATCTTTTCTTTTAATACTTAAAGAAACATCTGTAAAAGTAACATTTATATGATATGTATATACTGTTATGTTTTGTAACGAGAGGGCTTATATAGGCTATGCCTGTTGCCCAATTCCTTTTGTACATCAGATCAGTACAATAAAATATTCTGAAATGAAAAAAAAAATGTTGGGATGACCTGAAATCTAGAATAGAATGCGATGATAAGTCCGGTGTTTTGGACTATTTTGTGCGAAATTGTGATGAAATGAGATCGATTGAATTTATTGTGATTGAATTTTATAATTCTTAATACTGAGGTAAGTCAGTAATATCGTCTGCAGCTAGTTTTGACTAGAATCTAGCTTATTGTTAATTGTATGGTTTGTTAAGTAATAGCTGTTTAAACATAAAGTATAGAGGTCAACTGTACTGGAGCCCTATTATCTAGATAGATCTGCCTGCATTATTTGATTCGGGGGTACTCCATGGTCATTCAACTTCTGTACTGCTAGTCGTTCTGCCGGCGTAGCAGTCGATCTAGATTTTGGCCCCGTCAGACCTGAAAGTTATATTCATTACAGGCAACTGCCAACTTGTGCTTCAAACTGACTGAATCGTGGAATTTGAATCGATGTATTGACCAATTTCAAATATTTTTAGACCTATTTTTATGTAAATTATGGGTTAAATGCCTATATTACTTTACAGTAGAGTAATATGTTGTACATTTGTGCATACCTGCATTTTTCTCCATAGTCGATATGATTTTTCCCAGTTTGTTTACGCGGACTGGTTGTCCTTTATACCACCTCCGGGATTTTGACATGTTGGTGTTGGCGGATATATAAAACGTCTAAGCAATATTTCACTGGCCGGTGTTGTTTGTACAGGGTGTAGGCGACCACGGGACAGCAGGAGATGTTTTCGGGAGTAGACCATACTCGTGGGGGTAGTGCCCTAACATCTCTTGGGTTGGCACCTGGTCTGGTTTTGGTTAAGTGTTCATTGTATTGCAAATAATTGTCATTTCCATAGTCATTACACACGACCACAACACCCCATTTCCTTTCGTGATCTTCTGTAATGCTCCGCATTCCGAAATGTATGGTGTTGTTGAACCAGATGGTTCGTAAGAGGGATTCATGATTGTCATTACTCAATGGTTTTGTTTCGTCTAATTTGATGACTTTTTGAAATTGTTTACTTGTTGAATTTTTAAAGCCGTAATCATTACATTCCAGGTGCCTGTCACCACTACGTTAAGTTCTCCTAATAATACTAGGTTATAGATCTGTTTCATCCTTTCCTTTCACATTCATGAAAAATTACAAAAATACGTTTGCATAGTTCCTGAGGTGGTATTTGTAATGATTGGCCGTGACTCCTTCAGGTTTTGGCAGAGAAATTCTGACAGTTTGTCCATGTCAGATTCTGTCATTTTCTGTGTGTCCTGATCTGTTCATCTATAATGAATTTATCTATACCGATGTTTCGTCAACGAAACCTGGTAGATTGATTGGCGTTTTTGATGGGGGGAAATCAAGGTTATCTGATATGTTTTCAGCCAATAAAAATGCTTGTTAATCAACCTGAAGTGCAGAAAATCAATCGTCTGAACAATAGTAGTAGAAATAAGAAATAACCACCACCTATGGTGTATAATGTAGGAATGTGCTTTGAAGGTGACAATATATCAGGGAAAAGTTATTAATAAACATTTTCCAATCAGGCAATGTTTTATATAAAAAAGACGAAAGACGAAATAAAAATGGTTCACAAAATATTAATTTACAAGAGCTAAAATGGTGTTTATCATTGCACTTTTGCATTTTATATAAAATCATTTCTAGCCCAATTAATTTGATCACCTGTTGATGCAGAACCTGTCTATATGATTGAAGCAATGTTCAATCAATGTGTCCATAAGACAATAATTTCTATGACAGGCAATCACAAATAGATATGTTCATCTGACGTCTTAAATTGTTTAAGAAAATTGCGAGTATTGGTAAATGACATGAAGATTTTAGCCCGATTGGAATTCGCTAATCTCGCAACAACAGGGTGCAAGATAAACTCATTTGCGGTATTGTTTTAATTCCTTACATTCCAATGATTTTATATGCGTTTGCTTTTATTTTCCGGAAATCATTACTCATCATTACATTGTATGCCCGTTTTAATATGAGATTTGCATCGTAAAAACTTAAATAGAAAATCAAACACGGAAAACACAACACCGAAGACAACATACATGTACATGAACAAAAGCACAAGGTGGAAAATGTTTGAAACTCAACTCTTGTTTCGATTCATCGATTTGATCAGTCAGTAGATAATAAGCAATAACGTCGAGCCAAAACAAGAGTTGTGGCTTCTGAAGTTATAAAACGTCTTGCAAGATGAAAGTGTGACACTCACATGTTATTGCAACTCAACTTTGATAATTCATACAGTATTACATTGATTAAATATATGAGTGTGTGCGTGTGTTTGTTTATTCTTACAGTGGGAAAGGTTCCTGTAATGACAGCAGTATATAGTTGGGAGTCTCTAGAGGAGAAGTTTCATAACGTTGAGATGGGAGGTCGGTACCGCCCCACCCACTGTACAGCCCGTCACAGGGTGGCAATAGTGGTACCCTTCCGGGACCGAGAGATACACCTGAAAATCTTGCTCAACAACCTCCATCCATTCCTACAAAATCAGCAGCTTGACTACGCCATCTTTATTGTTGATCTGGTAAGCAAATATTTAGAAATGTTCTTTCATATAAAAAACAACAAAATAATATGATACCAAACTGTTTTTATAATCCTTCCAAAAAGAAGTTAACCTAAGTTGAAACAATTTTTTGATGATGTTATTATTGACTTATGATCAAGGCAGTGTTTCAGAGGAAAAAATTAAACCTTTTTCTTTACAACTAGGTAAATTGTCATAGTAATCCAGAGGTGCCACAATTTAGTAACGTTTGCTGCGAGAGTAGAAAGGTAAACTATCCGCAAGGTTGTAAATGGCAAATTATACTAATAATCAAAATATTTTATAAATTGGTAAAATTATAGCTCAAAATATCATATTGTTTATCAGTTTGTATGTACAGTAAAAATAAATATGGCCCTAAAACTGACCCCTGTGGTACCCCGCCTTTAACGTTTTCCTGTATCACATATAATATCTGACTACTGTTCCCAACATTACTTTCTATGACTGATTTTGTTTTATTTTAGATGCCGGAAGTAACCTTTAACAGAGCCATGCTACTTAACATTGGTTTCACAGAGGCCCTTAAACAGTATGATTACCAGTGTTTTATTTTCCATGATGTGGATCTTATACCTGAGATGGGACATAACATGTACAGCTGTCCAGAGAACCCGCGTCATATGTCAGTTGCTATAGACACAATGAATTATAGGTAAGTCTTATATACGCTCATTTAAATGAATCGGGTTATTGTTACCAATGAACTGGGAAAAAAAATGTTGAAATAAGTAGAAAAAAATATATCACGATTACAATACACAAGGACAAACTCAGAAGTCTGCATGACAAAAAATGTGATATACGAGACATCACAATAATGGGAAGATTTTTTATCCGCCACTTAAATCATTTTCATATGACTACCGCCAGGAATCAAAATAGCAGTCATGCATATAACGATACAAAGTATACACGGTGCTATCCCTTTCCTCGTAAAACTACTATTCTTTCAATTCAGATCCTCTGTGAGCAGGTATTGGAAATAATTGTAGTTCCTATCAAAATCGTGTATCAAGACCAATTTGTACCAAAATAGTCTGTTAGGAACGTCCAAGACATCATCTTAAAACAAAACTGCCAGTGCCTTCCATAACGTCTTGTACTCAATGATCTTATGAAAAAGCACGTACAGATTTCCTGTTTTTGTTTGGAATATATAAGTTGTGGGATTAACACATCTCGGTGCATTGTTACTTTGTACTTGTAACTTTATAACTTTCTAAGTATATAGAATAATAACTGTTTGGTACAAAATATAGCTAGTATATCTGTACATTGTGAGTTATAGTTTGGTTTTAAAGGCATACCTAGCTACATCCAAACGACTCCAAATTGAGTTTTATGTAACGTACTCTGCATAGCAGAGACAGACATAATAACGTATACATACATAAGTTTATGAGCTGTAATATAATAACCAGAAACGGAATGTCCTTTTTCAACAGATTGCCGTACAACAATATATTTGGAGGCGTGGTAGCCATGACAAAGGAGCAGTTTCAGCAGGT